GTCATTTTAAATCTGCAGCCAATAAAATAGATAAATAATTACACTTCAATTACAGAGAGATGAGGTGAGACAACATTTTTATCTTACTGGTGAGGTTGAGTGGAGCAAGGTGAATACCATACACCAGGTATCAACTTCCTTTAAAATTTCACACCACAGCAACAATTAGAGTGGCTACTTGCCACAGATGCCTTACTCATAACCACTCTTGTTATGCTACATAATCTACAGACACACATAGGTGTCCATGGGAAGGATATTTCCTGGACACATGGGCTTCACCTAACACTATTTTCATCCTCCTCTAAGGATGAAGCTCATGACCAGATGGACAATTCAAAGTACCATGATAAGGACCTTCACAAGGGAACACAAGTCCATTTACTAAATAAATTAATTTTTGGGCCAAACCTTAAAAACCAGTTCAGACTGAGAAGACAGGCAGAAAAAAATACAGGTCTTAGCACAGGTCACTGGTCTTAGTCTTCCAGAGTAAGATGTTTTAAAAAACAATCCTATTATTAAATCACTGATGTTCATAGATTATAGGCCTTTTCTTTCTTTTTTCTTTATACTATTTCTGCTGTGTAACATTTATTTCTGCAGTAACTATTGTAATCTTTATGACACGAAATTCAAGACTAAGGCATGTGCAACAAAAAATTTTAGACTACACCATGGTGTCCAGATATTTGGATCCAAGTTCCATATTTTTAATAGCAAAAGACTACAAATACCAAGACTACAATTACATGTAAGCGTTACGCAATGGCAAGCTGATCCTTTGCTTTGCCACTCCATAATAAACGAACTCCATTGGCAAATGATTGTTAAAAACTAATGCACCACAGCGGAGAAAAAGAAAACAAAGTCCTTCAGTGGAAAAGAACACAGAACAGAAACTCCAACCACTCCACTGCAAGGTTTCCCACCAACAGACAGGTAGATCACATCTAACCAACTCAACAGATAAGGGACTCCAGCTGGAAGATGAAGCACAGCTTCATTCTCCTTACCTTTCCAGGGCACAGTCACATAACCTAAATTAAGAAGTCCTATCAGAGTTTTGCAGCATTACAATACTTTATATTACATACAGAAGATTTTTGGGAGCTGATGTATTTCATTATTTCCTGGCGGTCACCAGAACGACCATGAGCCAGCAATGTGCCCTTGCTCCAAAGAAGGCAAATGGTATCCTGGGCTGCATTGGTCAAAAGCATTGCCAGAAGACCAAGGGAAGTGATCCTGCCTTTCTACTCAGCACTGGTGAGTTCTGCACTCCTGAGCACAAGACAGACATGGACACATGGTGGAGAGAGCCCAGCAAAGGGCCACAAAGACAAATAAGGGACTGGAGCATCTCCATATGAGGAAAGGCTGAGAGCTGGGACTGTTTAGTGTCCAGAAGAGAAGGCTCAGGGGAGAATCTTGTTAATGTCAGAGATAACAGAGACAGGCTCTGTATCATGCCAGAACAAGAGGCAATGGGCACAAACCAAAATGCAAGAGGTTCCATCTGAACATCAGGATACATCTTTTCACTGTGAGGGTGACTGAGCACTGGCACAGGTCGCCCAGAGTGGTTGTGGAATCTCTTTTCTTGGCGATACTCAAAATCACCTGGACATTGTCCTGGGCAACTGGCCCTAAGTGGCCCTGCTTCAGCAGGGGGTTTGGACCCAAAAACTGCCAGAGGTCCCTTCCAACCTCAACCCTTCTGTGATTTGCTCTATGAAGGAAATTTACCTGTAACAGACCTCTGCAGTGTACTTAAGAGATTTCTGTCATCACTTTTGGCATATCAACACCATCTGGAAACGGGGAAATGCACCTTAGCAGCTGACACTGGATCTTAAGCTTTATCCAGTGTTGGGGGTTTTGTTTGTTTTGTTTTACTACCACCTAGCAAATTTCTCCTATCTCCTTTAGCAGGTTACCCAGTGGGAACACAATTATCAAAATAAGAAAGGAAGCCCAGAATTGAATTGGGGGATAAAAAAGCCCTGGCAATAGAGAATCTTTAACCCACACTAACTATGAGGTCCCAAATAGAGGGTTTCTCACAACATTAAGAGAAAACAAACATATATACATATTCTATGCATTTTCCATCAGCCAGCCAACTTTTTCAGGAAAAAGCATTACAGCTGTGCTATTCAGTAAGCTCCTAGCATACAAAGGAAAAACGCCATCAGAGGTGTCTCTCCAAACAAAGTAACTAGACCGAGCATCAATCCACGAGCTTATGCTTCGTTTCTAAGTCTGCAGAAAACGCTGTATCACCGATGCTGAGGCTGAACACCTGAAATACAGGGCTTCATCAGCCTGGTGAGAACAAAGTCTGCCGGCAGCATCCCCGGAGGCCCTGGCAGCGGCCGCCGGCTCCCTGCGGCGGTGGGATAGCGATGACATCATGCCAGGCTGAGCTCCGGCAGCCCTGGCGCAGGAAAGCCCTGGAGGGACCCGCCGTGCCCGGCTTCACCGCGCTGGGGAAGGATCCCGGTCCCGCTCCCACCCCTGCACCCACCAGCTGAAGTGCCAGCGCCTCTCCCCCAACAATGGGCACTTATGAGGCGAATTGCTTCAACAGTACAAGGATTCAGAATCTATTTTGCAGCACAGAAATAAGAAGGAGGGGGGAAAAAAACACAGCGCACAATAACCCTTTCATTCAAAGAAGAAAGGCTTCCAGGAAGTACAAAGTGTTTCAAAGCTTTATCCAAAACCCACTGAAATCAACAGAGGCCCTTTCCATTTTTATCGGTGGACGCTTTAGGAGGCTATAACCTAAGACACAGTTTGAAAGCATTATCAGTCACGCTGTCATGCATTATTAATAACACAACAAACTCAAGAAAATGCAGCAGAATTCCAGCTATCTCATATGCTGTGACATTATCAGAAATTCATCCTCCTCCCCCTCGTTCGCCCCAGCTTCTAAAACCTTTCCTCAAATCATGCAAAAATCTCTCTCCCCCATAAATAAAAAAACTTATTCTCCCCCAAAAGCCACACTTTGTCACAAGCAACACTGTTACAGTATGATGGTGCAATAGCAGAGACCGATATACATCACACTCTACAGTTTTACATACTGTAAATGTAGTCCTTGACTAGGAGAGCAAATACAGAAAGAACATCATGCTCCAGCTTTCAGACCTGCTCACTCTGACAGAATATTTTAAAAAAGGCACTGATGTCTTCCAGTTTACTATTAGCTTGCTAGACCAAAGTAATGCACTGCTGGTTTTAAATTGAATTATGTGAGGAGACCTATTCATGTTCCTATCAAGAAGAGGGAACATTACTGAGTGTGCCTTGCACTACATTATACAAATAGATATATAGTAAATGCATAACAAAATTAACATCTTTTTAATTGTTTTCAATCTAGAAACTTTGTTCATTTGTCATTTAATTAAAAAAAAAAATCTGTGGAATCTCATATATCCCTCGATGAAATTGTACTGCATTTTGTTCTCTTGGATTTCTTAAATGAAATTGATGCTGTAATTTACAGTGCCATTACAGAGCAGACTGTTATGCTGTACTTACTCTTCAAGTCTCACACTGTAGCCTACAGTTACTTTAACATTAGACAAACATGAATTCTTTTAGGGTAAGGTACTGCTCAGCATGAGGGACATAAGAGAAAATTTGTTTGAAGTCATTAAACGAGAAAAAAAGAGTTTCCATCGTAGCCAAAGTTTTCGACAGCTCAATGTAAGAAGTCAGTTCTATTAACACAAATTTCGCTCTACAAGAAACAAGCATTTATTCAGTGGGGGAGGGCTTAAATGCAATGCTGTAAAAAAACCCTCATGACATCTTATAAAAGCAAGCTAATAAAAACAAAAACAAGTGGGAGGGGGGGAAAGAATGTAATATTGGTCAAGTTCAGCGCTCAAATACACAGGTATTCACCACCACATTCCTTCGACTTTCTGAACACTCAGAGATGCTAAGCAACAATCTGATTTAACTGAGGCCGGTACAGCGAGAATAAAGCCGAAGTCAGGTGCTGCTAAAACACAGGACTGCTTTTCAACCTTAAAAACACTGGTTTGACACAGTACTGTGGTACAGATGGACATGGTTCAGCTGTGTATTTGGTGCGAACCTTCCCGTCCAACAGCAGAGCAATCACTTCCTAATCTGACTTCTTTTCGGATTCTGATGGGAGAAAATTCTTATCCTGTGCTACGACGAAACGTAACACAGAACACGCAAACGGTCTTCGCTTTCTCTCCAAAATCCGATTTATTGTGTGTGTCGAATGCCCAAGCAGAAGTTGACACACGCAGCGGGGCTGCGAGGAGCGCGCAGGACATCGCTGCTGGGGCTGCGCTCGGCTACGGCGGGGCCGCCGCTCAGCCCGCGCTCCGCACAGCGCGGATCACGGCGGCACTTTTGCCGAGCTCGGTCACTCGCACCAGCACCCTGTCTCGGTGCACAGCTGGCCGCTCCCGCGGGCACAGCTGGGCACTCCCGCGGGCACAGCTGGCCATGCCCGCACGCCCGGGGCAGCCGCACGGCGCCCGGCGGGCACAGCTGCCGCCGCAGCGCCCGAGGGCAGCGAGACGGGGGGGGGGAACTCCGAGTCCCGCTCCGAGCAGCGCCGGCCGCGGCCACTCACCGGAGAGCTCGTCCGGCTCCAGCCCGGTCTCGGTGTCCAGCCCGCAGATGACGAAGTAGTCGGCGAAGCGGCCGGGTGCCGAGGAGCCGCCGCCGCCGCCTCCGCCGCCGCTCATGCTGCCTCCCGAGGGGAGCGCGGGGCTCAGCGGGAGCGGGGCCGGGCGGGAGCGGGGCCGGGGTCGGCAGCCGCTCCCGCCGCCTCCATGGCGGCGCGGGGCGGGCGGCGCCGCGCGGCATTGTGGGAACGGCCCCCGCTGCTCCCGCGGGGGGGGCGGCCCGGCCGCGCGCCGCAACGCCGCGCGTGCGCCCTGCGCGTGGGGGTGACGTCATGCTGCTGCTGGTGCTCGCGCCGGGCCTGCCTGAGGGGGCGGCCGTGGCGAGGTGGGGTGGCTGTGCCGGGGGATCGCGGCGCTGCCCCAGCGAGAGCCTCGGGAACAGGCTCTGCCCCCTCATAGCTGAGAACCGCAGCATGGGCCAGGCTGGAAGGGACCACAGCGGGTCATCTGGTCCAACCTCCCTGCTCAGGCAGGGTTATCCCAGAGCACAGGGTTGCGTCTGAATACCTCCAGCGAGGAAGACTCCACACCCTCTGGGCAACCTGTTCCAGTGCGCGGTCACTTAGTTCTTCCTTTTGTTCTTCGTCATGTTCAACTTCTGTGCGTCAGTTTCTGCCCATTGTCTCTTTTCCTATTGCTCAGCACCACTGGGCAGAGCCTGGTCCATCCTCGTCGCACCCTCCCTTCAGATACTGACAGACATTGATGAGGTCCACCCTCAGTCGTCTCTCCTCAAGGCTGAACAGAATCACAGAATCAATTACGTTGGAAGAGACCTCTGAGATAATTGAGTCCAATCTATTGTGTCCAGGCTCAATTCCCTCAGCCTTTCCTCACAGAAGAGATTCTCCAGTCCCTTGATCAACTTTGTTGGCCCCCGCTGGACCCACTCTAGGAGCTCCACGACTCTCCTGTACAGAGGAGCCCAGAACCAGACACAGAGGACAGGAAGGCGCTGCTGGGGCCTCTTGCTCAGGGCACAGATCAGTGTGGTGGTGCTCTGAAAACACCTCTGGGCTTGGGTCCTCCCATCACCTTCAGCTTCCCATCGCCTCTCCCTAAGGGCTGCGGCCCCGATAGTGTCATGACTCCACAGCTTCGTGGAGCAGCCGTGCCCTGAAACAGCCTAGGTCACAGGGAGAGAGGGTGGGTGCAGGGGAAGTGCTTTGGAGGTTATTTGGTTTTAAGGGGGCTTTCTTTTTCCTATTTGGATTAACATCACAGACATCTCTGTTAACAGTTGGGCTTCCACAGCTGTGTGAAATCCACTCCCCACTCTGGCCCAGCATGGAAAGGAAGACAAGCCAAAGGAAGAATGACCCAAACCAATCTGCTGAAGGGCTACTAATGTGCACATATGATCTGTCTTGACAGCACTCTTCCCACTGACCATAAAGGTACCTGGGATGGCCTCATTATTCTAAAATTAGATCTGTAAGTAGTTCCCCTTCCTCTCCTCTATCAGTTCTCTATTTGTGGCACTTGCATCAGAATTCTTCCCTATCTTGTAGGGCTTATAAAAGGAGAAGTTAAAACTTTGCAGTCTTTAAGGTTTATGACCTAGGACTGCCCAAGTAATTCAGGTTGCATCCATAGTGCTGAATTGATCAGACACCAAATAGAACTTGCTACCAAGCATATGAAACCTCACGTATTTGAGTTTTCATTGCCAGGACATACCAAGTTCTCTGTGGGCACTGGAGACAGCAGCACATGTAAGACTCCACCAATGGTTTACTGCCATTTGCAATACAACAACTAAGCTCTTATACCACTGGGCCCAGTGAGCTTTACCATCCTTCTTGGAAATAGGAAAAACTGTGGGAAACACTGATGCTATCAGTAGTCACTTGATTAAGACTGAATTGGTTATCGATGCATGAAAGTCTTGGTTAGATTTGACTGACAGTTCAGTTTTAAACCACTAGTAAACTTGAGGGAAAGATTTCAATAAAGATGGCAGGGTAGGAGCAATATTAGAGTGAAAGACTCAAGTTAACTCTATAATAAGCACATTTAGATTATGTTGAGTCTGCTTGGTGGTGTGCAGAAGACACAACAGAGAACAGAACTTGCTAAATCTGGTTGCTCTTACTCTGCTATGTTCTCTAGCCATTTTTTGCACATTTTACTTCTCAATCTGCTTTCGATGTGGCAAAGGACAACGTATTCAGCACATGGTAAACTTTTTTTGAGTAAGCCTGAACTGCAGTTTAACCCTTACAAACAAAAGTCACAGCCCAAGGGTCTCAGAAGGCCTTGTAAGAAAGTCTAAGGAAACAGCACAGATATTGGCAGGGGCTTTTTTTGTCAAATAAAGAGTAAAATGGGGAAATAAAAATTTTTTCTTACTTGCACTGTAACTGTTCCAGCAATAACCATGTATTTAGAAGATTTAGCAAATAAAGTTAGATGGGCCAGTAAGTAAGCAGAGAATTACCAGAGATACTGTTGAGCAGCAATATTTAAATGCACATGTGCCTTGATATGCAACAGGGTAAGAGACAAGAAATGCTTTTTTAAAAGGAGAGTCTTAGACTAAGAACCTCAGATTTGCTTTGAATTGCTACAAGAAATTGACAAGATGAGTGGAATTTGCTAAATCAGAACCACCAAAGGGTTAATTAATCAAGAGCATAACAGTCACCACAATTTTTGCTGTGGAAGGCTCATTCATACTTTGTCAGATAAATTCTCTGCATTCCCAGTCAACTTACAGACTCTTAAATCTGTGCATCCAGCAGCTCTACCTAAATACCTAGAGGTTTCTCCTCCCATTTTGTCAATGACCGTCTCTTTCCTATTGTATCTTTTTCATCCCTGATTACTTAATTTCTGACATACTCTTGCCTAGTGACCACAAACATCTGTGACGTTTAATTCAAAGGCCAGTAGCTTTAATCTTGAGCAATGTTCCCATTGCAGGAAACACCCAAAATATGGCAATTCTTGAAATCAGGAAACTTTGCAAATGGTTTAGATGTCCTTGACTAAAGCAACAACGCTCTAGACTACGTTACAAATTCTTCGAAGTATTCTTTATGATGTTGAGAAAAATCTGTGGAAAGGTGAATTCTGTGCAAACTATGACTCTTTAGCCAGAGAATCATAAAGACATTTAGTGATTCATTGTCTTTGGCAAGACTATCAATGTTGATTCAGCTGCTGTTTTCAATGGCAAAGACTGGTACTTTCAAGCTCAAGCCTTAAGTCAAAGAGAATAAAGTCTTTTTAAAATAGTGAAGATGGAACTTAATGCGAAGATGTCTTGATTATTCCTCATGCTAGTTAAATCAGATTTACTTTGCCAGCAATCACAGTCATGATTATTTGAAGAGTTTATTTAATAAGCAATAAGAAACCACAACAGCAAATTACAGTTTCATTCAGAGAATTGAAAGAGGCTGAAATAGGGTATCTCCTTTTTTTCTGGGCAGCTGTTTCCCAAGGTGAGCTAAGCTTAGAAAGGTAGCAGAGCTCAAAGCACAAACAGATCGCTGCAGTTGTCAGGGTCCTGGTTGTATGAGGCACCTTCTAATGACTCTATTTACCCTAGATTCTTTAAGGAAAAAAAAAATCAAATCAGTGACTGTTACCATTAAAGCAATCCTCTCCAGTCTGCAAAACTGGACACTGGGAACTGGCTGCGATTGCTTATTGACCATACATTTGGTGTGACACGGACACAACAGACTGCTGGCGTACAGCCTGCACACCAGATCACCCCCATCAGGGCACAGATCAGAGCACAACTGTCACTTCAAGGCTCTTACGCTCCCAAGCAGCATTGTCCCTCTTCTCCCCACCTCCCAGAGACCACACTACTGACTGATATTCAATTTGCCAACAACCAGGACCCTCCAGGTCCCTTTCTGCAGCACTGCTCTCCAGCCTCTCATTCCCCAGTCTGTCTGTACATCCAGGGTTGCCCCATCCCAAGTGCAGAATCCGGCACTTTTCTTTGTTGAACTTCATATGGTTGGTAATTGTCCACTCCTCTAATTAGGAGTCTCTCTGCAGGGTCTCCCTGCAGGGACTCCCTGCCTTCGAGGGAGTCAACAGCTCCTCCCAGTTTAGTGTCATCTGCAAACTTGCTCAGTATCCCTTCCAGTCCTGTGCCCGAGTCCTTTATGAAGATGTTGAAGAGCACAGGGCCCAAGATGGAGTCCTGTGGAACCCCACTAGTGACAGGTCACCAGTCTGATGTCACCCCACTCACTATTACCCTCTGTGCTCGACCCGTGAGCCAGTTGCTCACCCAGCACATGATGTGTTTATCCAGCTGTGGGCTGGACATTTTGTCCAGAAGGATCCTGTCAGAGACAGTATCAAAAACTGTACTGAAATCCAAACAGATTACATCAACAGATAACCCACCCTTGGTCAACTAGGTGGGTTATCTTGTCATAAAAGGAAATCAAGTTCAACAAGCAGGACTTTCCCCTCATGAAGCCATTTTGGCTGTGACCGATGACTGCATTGCTCTCCAGGTGTTTTTCAGTAACTCCCAGAGTAATCTGCTCCATAATTTTACCAGGCACTGAAGTGAGACTGACAGGCCTGCAGTTTCCCTGGTCATCCTTCTTGCCCTTCTTGAATACTGGGACAACGTTAGCCAGTTTCCAGTCAACTGGGACCTCTCCAGATTCCCAAGACCATTCAGAAATCATTGAGAAGTCTCATGATGACCAGCCAGCTCTTTGAGTACTCTTGGATGAATCCCATCAGGCTACATAGACTTATAGGAATCCAGCTGTAGAAGCAAATCCTGCACAAATTCTGGGTTGACTGGGAGTTTGTAATTCTCACAGTCATGAGAAATCAGTTTAACACAGAACAGAGTCAAACATATGAATGATTTAGTGATCTGCTCAGAATACTTCTTCGTGACATGGAATTCCTCCAAGTACAGTAAACATTGCAAATTCCAGGTTTTGGATACAACTGCTCAGGGCTAGGTTGTAAAAGAAAAATCAGGAGTTATGACTGTAACGTTAGATCTTAATTACAAGGCAGATTTTTAAAAGCTATTTCCCACTGCAGCACTCCCACCCCTCTCCAGAGCCTTCTAACCTTTTAAGGCTACGAAGAGATCATTGAAGTCCTACAGCTGTACATGAGCAGAATTCTCTGTGTTTAGAAGACTATACAGAAAGGAGCTTTTATGAGGCTTCTCATATATACACCAGTCACTGAATTAGCTCTTGTAATCCAGACCCAGATTCTTCCTTGTGTACTATAAAGCAAGAAAATGTGAATTATTACACTAAGTGGAGTATTTTTAAGAACTGGGAGGGGAGTAATAGTATGTTAGTAAATATATTATGCTCTTATTTATATTAATTGCCATTATTAAAAGGCCATAACATCTTTCAGTTTGGGTGACCTGGAGCTATAAAGCCTCCAGCTGAGAATTATAACTGTCACTGCAAGACATCAATTGGTCATAACAATAGAGTAATTTTTGCAAAACTCACTCTGGACCCTACTCTCCTGGAAAAACTTTTTTTCATTTCCCTCTTAATACTCTGATACTAAAACATATGGTTCACAAACTTCCCACTACTTATGATAGAAGGAAAGTTTTTTGTCATTTCAGTCTTCTGGGAGGAAAAAAAACATCCCCAATTTTGTAATCCTGCAAAAGAGATTGTCCCACATTATAAAAGTAGTTCATAAAGTATTTGAGGGATGGTTTGACTTCTCCTTTCTGACACTGGCTCTGTAGTGGGTTCCAAGGAATGGACAAGCACTTCTGGGACAGGATCTGTTCACTGTGCTGAAGGATTTTAAATGGAGAAGTTTGACTAGAAGGTCTGACTCTTAGTGCTTTAGCTCCCACTACTCCCAGAGTTACTACTACACTGTTACCACTTACCAGGATGAAAGAAAAAATGTGACTAAGAAACCTAAAGAAATCCTGGTTTGTTCTTTTCGAATTTATTGCCAGTGCAAAACACTAGAGGTATGAATTTCATTCCTGTATCAACAGCTCTCACAAAAGCTTCTATTACAGTTAGTCCTTACAACTGAAAGTGGACCTGCAGGAGCTTGTGGGTGTTTGAGTCCTTGATCAGGTACCCGGCTGAGTCGATTCTGCTGCTTGTTCAGCTTCATCCAGAGTAAACTGCAGTGTGAGGCAGGCAGCATCCCTCAAAGGGAGCAATACACACTGCATTTTAGTTACTGTGATAAAACTGGGTTAGGACAGAAACTGTACATGATGAAAATTCTCAGGAACAACACATAAAAATCCTCAGTTACCTAAAAACAGAAAACATGTTTTGACTTTGCATAACAGCATCATTCAGTAGCATTTTAAAGAAAGACTTCTCATTTTTAAACTTTTACTTTTTCTGTCTTACCCTTTCAGTAAGCTTTCAATACAAGAGGAAAAAAAGCATTTCATAAACTGGGCTTGACAGAATATTAAGGGAAGGTGAATGAAGCTGAAAAAAGTTTGGCATAGGGGCCTTCCATCAGGGATTAATGCAAACTAAAAAAAGGCAAATTATGCAAATAGTTTTGAGGAGATAAAGCAAGTTATATCCAGTTGCCTTCCAGTGCCTTCCAAAGCAGAAGGACTTTTCAAATTTACTGTTGTATATGAGAAATCAATTTCAGAGAGAAAAGGAAGTCAAGTTTACCTACTTATTTTGAAATAAAGGGAGAAACAGAATTAATCTCATTTACAGATGTAATCAGCTCAGTTTAATTTTTAATCAGTCAATAAAAATACCATTTAGGAAGAACTCACCCCTTTTAAACAGGTTAATAAAAAATTAAACTTAGTGAGAAGTTCAGCATGCTTCATAATACTCAAAAAATACAGTGCTACATATTTTATATAATAGCTTTATTATCAAATAAAGAGAGACACTTAGTAATGATGTCATGCAGGTATCACAAAAAATTCCAGAAGATAAACAGGTCACCTAACAGCTCAAAATCCCTTGCAATTAAAAAACAAAGCTACATCTTTCTGATTTCCTGGTAAGTTTCTTGGTAGCCGCTGTTTTTCTGCCAAAATGTTACAGCTCTCTCTTGGATCACTTGCTGGATTCCCTACAGGAAAGAGTAGGCTAGTACAGTATTCCACAGCACAGTGCTTTTCTTTGCCTCTTTCGCAAGGCCTGCCTTACTCTTCAAAACCCTCAGAAGTCTTCATGGGGTAGGAAACCAGGCTGTTGGCAGCTGAAGATAAACATGGAAGGGACAGGTTAAAAAAATGCTAAGGTTTTGAAAAAATAAAGAACCTTATTTTCAACCTTTTTAAGGTTTTAAGGCTTTTAGTCATTGTGATGGGAACCCAGTCTTAGGGCTCAAACACAGGTTTTGAGTAACAAAGCCTGATCCCATCTACACAGTGAAACAGAACTCCGTGAAAAAGTCAAGTGATAGCATAGTTAGATTGAAACATAGCTCAGTTCCTTCTTTAGTGTCAAGGTTCCACCAAAACATTGGCTTTACACAGCATAGAAGAGATTTTACAACAGCATCTGTTATTGACCAGAAATTTAGACAAAAGCCACTGGACAGTAAGTAGTAGGTAATTTATTCTGAGAGTTCATCTGCATGAAAAATTAACTATGCAGAAAAGTAGGCTGTAAATCTACAGCAGCTTCATACTCAGTAGTCCAGGGGACACTTGCTCACGCAGCTAAATTCACACTCAGAGTTACTATGGAATAAATCCCTTGGGTAGAGGAACTCTGGAGATTAGAACAGCAGCAATAAAAGTAATCACTGTTCAGTTTTAAATGCCAAAGTACACTTTTAGAGTAAATTCTATATGACAAAATAATTGCTGAAGCTGAATGATCTTACAATAAATTTGCAAACAGAACTGATATGAATTCCTTATGTAAAAAATACCATTTACTGTGCAGCCCAGATTTAAATAAAAGACAAATAGTGTATCAATAGTATTTACTATATATTTACATATAATACTGTGGTGAAATGAAAAGAGTCAATTAACATTATGTTACAAAATGAATAAACCCATTTAAAGGTACCAGTACCTTTTACATTATCACATTTATGGAACTGTTCTCTTACATCTCAAAGATCTGTGATATGATCATGAGTTAACACGAGGACACAGACAAATAAACCCTGGAACTGGAGCACATGCTGATGTGTTGACTCCCATTTCAGCAAGACACTGCAGGGGCACCAACTTAAAGCATGTCAGCAGCACTGGTTTCAGAAGGGTAAAACTTCAGTGCACTCCCCAGTTCCTCAATGGTCAGGGCCTCGTTTTATGGGATTCCACTGACAATACAACAAACTACAACAGCTGGAAGCACACGGGGAGAGGTATCATATACCTCACACATATTTCTCCTGAAGGTGAACCAGAGCTGGTTGCCCATTGCCAGTTACTGAGTTAGGAGACAATGGAACCCTCCTTTCATTTTTATATACACTGACACAAGAGCCTGCTGTCACATGGTGCTTTGAACATTATTTGGGATCAGCTACTTAACAGGAACTGCACCAGTTTGTGTACCTGACATTTCTTCTAGCTAATCAAGCTGCAATGAAGAATTTTATAGTCTTTACATATTGCTTGAGAAATGGTAATATTACACTGCGTAAGCATTTTTAAATCACTTGAGAACTGAAAGTTTTATATAACCATACGATCACTTTAAATTGGCAGGATAAATCTATGCAAATGAAATATTGGCAAAATAATCAACATGAAAAAAATTAAAATTAGAACTTAAGAATCATCAGCCAGCCGAGATAAAAATTCTAAGCTGCTCTCTCCCTTTCTATATCCTCTCCCAGAATAAAACTTAACAGAGGACAAGAGGGAACGATGTGACACTTCACCTTTGTTAATCCAGTTAGTAAAGCAGATGTAGGTTCAAGTATTTAATTCCACACAGCACTAATAAATAGAAGTAAACAAACAGGATGAGAATAACATTGTAGTTAAAGTACTGCAAAGAACCTTTGTTTCTGATTGAGCACCGTTCTTATATTATTATTTTGAAACTCCCAAAGGCAAAAAAGAAGGGAACTATTGTTAGTGAGAAATGCTCTCAGACCGGATCACATGCAAGCCTACAGAGAATGTTACGAAGTTGGACTGGGTAATTAAGGTTTTTTCCTGCAAGTGTTAGAAAGCATCAGCACATTACAATTTTTGCTCTGCATATAACTAGAGCAAGATGTTACATCTACGTTTTCACTCCCCTCATTCTGAGAGCCACACACACACACCCTCCCGAAGTAAAACACTGATGGTTTGGTTACAAAACTATATGCAGTACATATCTGAACACAGTTCCTTCAGTTTAAGGCCATGTGTTCATTTAATGACATTCTTATCAATTACAAGCCTCCCCTTTAATTGCTTAAGATCCAATAGAAAAGCAAATATACAAATATCAGAAGTGCTGATCCTGAGATGAAGTATGGGAAATTCTGGTCCAGTTTGATCCTTATTCAAACTTCTGTTTCAGTTTCTTCTGGAAGAGAGCTGGTAGGATGGAGAGGATGGCTAGAAACATGAGAACAAAAACAGAGTTCCAGGAAACAGCCTCCCCTGCTGTTGTAAGCTGGTACAGCGTTGTTCCTGCCTTAATGGCTACAAAAGACGGTGGTGCCACACCTGCAGCAGGGAAAGGATGAAAAACCAACTTGTTAGGGTAAAAAAAAACCCATAAATTAGTCATCCAACTTCTAACACCAAAAGTTTGAGATTTTGTCACCTTGTACTTTTTTTTTTTTTAAGAGGGCTGTAAATACAGAAATCAAAGACAAAAACACTTATCAAAAGAACTGGTTTTACACCATTTTTTAACACAAACTCAAACACAAGTCTAAGCAAATAATCTCTGCTCTTTAGAGTCTGCAGATTGCAGGTTGTCTATTTACAAACTGATTTTATTTAAGTTCATAAAGGCAAAATATGGATTGTTTCCTAACCAGATTAAAAAGTGTTTGCAGAAATATGCCAATTAAAAAACCTAAAGTGTTTAGCACTACATTAATTAAATTACTAATTCACTCCTCAGCAGACATGTTTTAATGGACAACATGGAGTGAGAGCTGAGAAATAATGCTTCAGATGAACATCACATACATCCTCACACAACTATGCTGAGCCCAAAACAGGAGTATGTAATTGTTCAGAAGTATTACAGTCACGGAGCAGAACAAAAAGTTACTAATAAAGTGTTCATATAATGTGTTTCCTTAAGCAAGTAATTAAGCCTGGGCTCATTACCTCTCATCCAGGACATCAGAACAGTCCTGACTACTAAAATCTTTTGATGCCATAAGCTCCACACATAAAAACAACATTCTTGTGGAATCTTTCAGTTATCTGGTAGGTGTGATCTCAGCTGAACAACACATACAGGGAGAGACCAATCATGCCCCTTCTTCTGGCCACCCCAAACTATGGCTCACGAGCCACAATTCTTACCTAGGAAAGTGCCAATGAAAAACACTTTCAATGGCACATTGATTACAGGAGATGTTATATTGATAAACCAATTGGGAAGAAAAGGTGTTATTCTCAAAAATATTATGTAGTTAATGAGGTGTTCTCTGTGTCGTTCAACCTGCCAAAACAAAAACAACAAAAAAATTAGTAAAAAAAATCCCTGCCTTGAAAATACAAAACGATTTTACTACTAGAGGTTTGTGAGGGGGGTCCTATCTTTTGCACACATCGACAAGTTGCAAACATAAAAAGCAGTTAAAAAATGCATGAGGGGAAGAGTCACCAGTGAATCACCTGTAAATAGTACTCGAATCAGTCTGGAAATACCTGTCTGTGGCAGAGCACGGTGGTGATGTGTCTCAATCACCCAACTCAAGCAGCAAGTCATTAGGAAGAGCAGCAGGCCTTACCCAACTTCAGCACAGCTCCCTCTGCCTAACTGTAGCCCAACCAACACAGCCAGCCTGTAAATCCATTCCTAAAGCTTGTGCAGGAACTAGCAATGAAGTTTGTTCCTCAACCCATTCTGCCCTAACTCACAATCCAACCTGAAACACAGCTATATCCCTCACTTGAAGCTTACCCAGATCATGGCTCTGAACTTCATCAGGTGGCTGCTGCCAGCACAGTTGCAAAGCCTGTCTCCCCATATGTTCAAATGCCCAGCATTACCCAGGAGCAAGGACAACAGCTCCAACTCCATTCACAGTTTTGATTATATTCTCAGGTGTAGCCCAGCTCCTTACACCAACAAGGCCTCTTCTCCTGCCAGTGTGGCTTTAGCAAATCAGCTCTTTTAAACAAGTAGTGTAACCTCAAACCAAGTTACCAGGATAGCAAAGCATCCTCCACTTCTGGCCTATCCTGGCAGACCTCCACTAAGGTTAGGCCCAAACATGGTTATCTGGCCCCAAAGAGTGGAAATCAAACCTGGTCTGACTGCAATTCCATCTGGAATCTCACATAGCAACTCACCCCAGTTACAACCCTGTTTTTCAGCTTTAGCCAAATTTATATTTAACTGTAACACCAAAATCAGGAGCCCTGCTATTGTTCAGTAATAATACTTGTAGGGTTTTTAAATCTCAGTGAAGGACAAATATTTAAATATTGATTAATGCTGCACATAAAATGGCTTAGCCCTCAATATGCAAGGATGATACAGTCCTATTAACCTGGAACCAGTGAGATATGAGCTGCACATGTAATTTAAAATCATATTCACTTCTACTAATGGAAATAGGAACCATTTGCTACTCAGAGTGGCCTCAAGATTATACTGCAATATAATCTTGATCTTATAATTCTGAAACATTAAGATATACTTGGGTCAAGAATCAAAACACTATTGTATTATTTATTGAGGTCAATTGTGCCAGACACAGCTCCATATCTTATCTAATGAGGACAAGTATAAAGTATTTTTATGTGATTCAAAAAAATCCTGAACAGAATACAGTAGTAAGTTGTGCTTCATGCTTACAAAAAAAAATGTTTGAACATGTTTCAGAGTATCAAAGAAAGAGACAAAAGGTCAAGTACAAATCATACACTGTTTTTGTATTTCAGAACTTTTAGTTTCGTCTCACAATTAAGTCTTGCTGAAAATAATGTTACCAGATACTGTAACAGAAAGTATGTAAATGCTCCAGCTACAATAACATCTTCAAATCAAGGTTTTGCAATCAGACATACAGCTCCAGGTTTTCCTGCCCTACAAAAACACAAGCCCAGCTTTCATTAGTCCTGATGGTCAGAGCAATTATTTGGCACTACCTGAAGCTGCGGAGGGTTCCTACTGACACTAGCTAAACCAGAGGGTGGTCAGTTAACAACTCCTCCTAGATAAGAACAACTTTCTCATGGGAAATACCATAAAAACAGGAATACTCCCCACTGTTTAAAAAACACACAGAGAAAGTAACTACACATTCTCAGAGAGGAGTCAGAATCCTTTCTTTATAACTAGATACATGTGCACAAGCCTTCCTAGATTTCCATATTATTCCACTATACATTTTGTATCGAATTCCAGAATCTCTAGAAGCCTTACCTGTTCTGACCATTTTACTGCTTTTTCTGTCAAATATCTGTATACAACAGGACGTCCCACTAGGTATGAAAGCATATAGCAAAATGAAGCTCCAAGTCCTGAGCACTGAAAAAAAAAGACAACAAATGAGAAGAAACTCTAAATTATCTCAGCCTTGTATCCCTATTAATTACACCATGGGGCTAGAGCCTGTTTCCATTCAGACCTCCATCAGTATGTACATGCTCCCTAAGAATGCTGTTGACCCAAGACAGTTCCCTTATTTCCAAAGGCATTTAGATCAATCTTAACATTCCAAGTAGAAAACTTTGACTATCTGTCAGTTAACACTGAGTGCTTCTGCAGTTTTAAGATTTTGAACAGTAAAAGCTTTGCAAATAAGGGACACAATGGCACTAAAGAGATTCAAACCTGAAAATTCAGCCACATGGTCCTCCCTACCTACTCAATCACTCAATAATCTCAATACTAAGGCACATTACAACTGCATCTTTTGCACATCTTTTTTGAAGCTTGTCAATAACACACATTTCAAATCTTAAATTAAGCTTCCTGCACATTTAAGCCATTCAAATTTAAAAAACAGATGCATTTCACAGTGCGATAATAAAACCACAGTAATTGTGTTCTGAAATTACAACTGGGTTCTGGCAGATGGTAAACAAATTTAGAATAAAGGAAACTCTGGCTGATTCACACTCGAATGCCTTGGTTATTAAGAAAACTTGGAGAAACAGCTTAGTGTTTTGGATCATCACCCCGTGCTACGGTGAATTTTGTGGATAACACCATTCTCCCAGCAGAGCTAAATGAGAACTCATTTGTTTGCCAGAAACTGAAGTATACCCCTGTTTTGCTCACTCTTGATCATTTCCAACAGGAAGCTGCTCACATGCTTGGTTGTATTCCAAAGAGACAGAAACACATGCCCTCACAAGTTATCTTCCATACTTACCAAACAAACAAGAAATAAGGCCAGCGGAAAGGGATAAAGAAACCCTGACAGGATACTGAGGAATATAGACCCAGGAATAGCAAATGTTTGCAAGCTGGATGCATTTCAGTCAAGGACAAAAACATTTTTAAAAAGCTACCCACTTCTGAATTTTCCAAGCATTCAAGATACATGTTACAACGTCGATAAATAGGCACAGCTTCTCAAGATCCTTACTTCAACATACATTTGTAGAGTAGCACAAGAAGCTCAAGCACAGAGCAATAAGGGGTAGATTCATCATTCTACATACAAAAAATAAGTCACTACATAAAAGCTGACTATACTTTTGTCTCCATCTGTGCTACAACTGACACTGGGGATTTATTGAGACTTCCAGGAAACACATTCTTCTGATTTTACATTGTTTACTATAGATATGTGGTTTCAGATATTCACTCTGACAAGTTCACAGGGCTGTCCAAGCCCATAATTACAAGTTTCATGGAAGACTGAAATGTATGAAGGCAGCTGCTTCCTTACAGGTAGGCATGGTGTAATCACTCATTACAGTACATGATCACTAATTTCAGTCAGCAATTTTCAAAAAGGCAACAATTAAGTTTCTGCAGTATAAACCAATAGGCTGTTGAGCTTAAGGCTTGCTAGGCACACTTGAGACTATGAGGTATTGCCCACCTTGGATAGTAAAGTTAAAGCAAAAAAAAATCTGCACACTACTTTATCTGAGTTGAATTGACCTAAATATTAAAAAGCCAAATAATCTTCTTAAGTCCATTACAACCAGTACAGCTTCCTGCTAAGCAAGTGTCAAGGTTCGGAGATAACTGGAACACACCTGTCAATGGATCACAGTCTACTGCTGACAGTGAATGTCGTCACTTCAGCTGCTACAGTAAACCAATAAACAGCCAATTCTATTCTACTTCTTGTTAATATATAAACTAACATTTTAATTTTCTTCCTAAACCTATTATTGGTGAAATACACTTTAAAAGAATAAGATAAAGGATAATCACTGATGGCACATTCAGTGCTGTCTTTTCCTGAGTTATGAAAGCCTTCTGCACGAAAACTGTGAAACAAACCTCTTATACAGCTTTTAAGTTATTAACCTTTAGTTAAGTGTTCCAGTTAAGAATGTGTTTAATGATTAATTAATATATTCAGCACCCAGGAAAAAGAAGTTGACACAGAACACAGGTAGCCTTTGTGTCCCCCTGGACAGAAAGTACTTCAGAAATCCAGCTCCCTCTAAAAGGAAACAGAGATTTGGTTTTCTGAATGGGGGCACTGCAGAGACAAGAGACGGCTCAAAACACTTTCCTTCAGAAATGTTGTTAAATATTCTGTAAATTACCCTCATATGGCACTTTTGAATGTCTCAAGGAAAAGCAGTGCAATAGTCTCAGTTTTCCTATAGAATCACAGTAATTTCTAACTCAAAATTCAGTTTGCAATTTATAGTTAGCATAGCACTAAAGTGAGACCAAGCTTAATACCACAGATAAAAATACAGTCCATAACAGACCCAGTAAAGGTGAAGCTGCATCCCCAACAGGATTTACTACTATAAATGTGTACATCAATTTCTTTCTACACAACCCTTCCTTATAGTCCTAAAAACATATTGGAACACTCAATAAAAGTTTTTAAGTTCAAAGATTTTAAAATATTTGTGTCTATTCATAAACACTCCCAGGTGTGTTCAACTTTTTCATCCATGATCAAGAATTTATAAATTTTTTTTTTCAT